TCCCTCCCTCCCTCCTTCCCTCCCTCCTTCCTTCTTTTTCTCCCTCCCTCCCTCCCACCCTCCTAGCTACTAGGAATATTGACAATGGAGATGTGGCTCCTATGTTCTCTGAATACAGGAGATGGGCACATAAACCCAGAGTTCCAATACAGGATGATAGCTGTCATTACAGTTGTTCCCAGGGTTCTGTAGGAGCTCTGGGGAGGGTCTGAACCTGGCCTATACTGGACATTGGGACCCAGAAGTGAATAAAAGTTCTTCCTGCATGGAATTCAGAGGAAAAGAAATTTCCTTCTGAACAAGGTGTTGGGAGAACAGGTGGAAATGGCTAACTCTTTGGAGGGGAGGAGAAGGCAGAGACGATGATTGAACTTGGTCTTAATGAATAGGTGTTTACTAGGTAAAGAAGAGTAAGGGAAGGCTTAGTGTTTTAGAGAACTGTGAAACATTTGATGTAGTTTAGAATGCCCTGAGTGATGAGCAGATGGAGCTGGTAAGGTAGATGGAGGCCAGATCATGAAGGGTGTTGGATGTCAGAGTAAAGAATTTTGGACTATGGATAACAGAGAATTGAAAGCAAGGGAATGTCATCACATTCACCCTTTAGGAAGAACACTCAGGTTAGTGTGGTGGATGAACTAATGGGGCTCAAGTTAGCAGGTGCCACTTGGGGCTCTCCTGACCCACAGAGCTCTGTGTGATTGCCTCAGAGCCTTGCCAAGTCCACAGGATGGGAGAGTCCAAACCCTCCACACAATTTCTACGGATTCTCAGGACTTGTGCTTTTATGGTCTCCTCTTGCCAGAGGTTCCTGTGGTCTGTACAAGTCTTCTTTGTTTTGTCCTCATTAGCCCTATTGCAGAATTAATCACCTTCATTGGCTTCCTGGAGAAATTCTCACACCAAGCATTTTGTAAGCTTAGAATCCCTTCGAGAGGTTGGGATTCTTGGAGAGGAGTTACATCATGGCATGTCACTAGCTTCCTCTTCTTTTTCCTCCCATTGCTACTCTTACCCGCTCTCCCAGAGTGCCCTGGAAACTCCAGGTTGTTTTACTCTATTATTATAAGTAGGTATTTAGTTTTCCTCAGCCCCTGATGCCAATTTGTATACACAAACACACCAAGGAGCTCAGCAAAACAGGCCTCTCCATTTAACAGCATACACCCACCCCATAAAGCAGTTGCAAAACATAAACAAATGCCCCTCCTTCCTTCTGAGACCCCACTAAACAACAGAAAAGGAGTATAAACACATTATCAAAGAGACTGGCAGGGAAGAAGGGTGGCAGGTGCAGAGAAGTCAACAAATTTCCAGAAGTAGATGACATACATTGACAGCTTAACAGAGTAAAGGAAGCTGTAGCCCAGACATAGGTAATGGAAATGAGAGCCAATCTTCCTGGCAAAATCCCAGAGACTCTGAGTTTATAACTAGCAAGTACTGAGGGCAGACATAAAAAGTGGACCTAAAAACCGGGGATTTTGTAGGTCTGTCTATGCAGAAGCTTACACCAGTACCCCCGCCTCCCACCTCTGCTGTTATCTCCAGAGTGGAGAGTGACTGGCACTTACCTCCAGACAAAAAACACACACACTACACACACACACACACACACACACACACACACACACACATGTGCATGTGCAACAAAAACCCAGAAGGCTCATTCTATAGAAACCCAATAAATCTCTAGGGGAAATCTAGTGTGGTGTTGACATCTCAGAATAAAATTTTTGTTATTCTGACATTTACAAACCCCCTCTCCTATCCCCTCAACAATCACCCACCCACTCACCCTATAGTCAAGGGTGCCAGATCTAGGAAGATACAAAGATATGAACAGAAAAAATAAAGGACATAGATCAACCCAGGAGGTTCTTATGATGAAGACTGCTGGTTGTCCTCCAAAATCTGTTCCTCCTTTTTTTTGGGGGGAGGGGGGGTATGAGGCACTTAATTAACCAACATTTCCGTCTCCTTTGCAGTTAGGTATATTCATATGATTTAAATTCTTGCCAATGGAAAATGAGCAGAAATGGTAGGTGACATTTCTGGGCCTAGACCTCAGGAAAGCAGGCATGCCCTCACCTCATTTTCTTTCTCCTTTTTGCCAGCTGTAACCAGTAGGAACCCAACCCTACTGTAGACTTGCCAGATAAAACACAAGATACCTAGTTAAATTTGAATTTCAGATAAACAATGAATCATTTTTAGCATAAGGCATGCCCCAGATATTGGATCCTAATGGATGGCAGAGCAACAGGGTAAAAGGAACTGGGTTCTTGAATTTAGCATGTAGCAACACCACTCCATTCACCCGGATGCTCACCTCACAACTGTTAGAAATACACTTCTTTTGTACTCCAAGCCACTACTTAGTTGGGTCTGTTTTTTAAAGCACACTAACTTTTCACCCTAACTAATATTTAGAGGTAAGTTTCTGCCATGATAAGACTGTGGCACATCTTACTATATACGGTCTTACTATTGCCATTAGTAATTTTTTCTCCACATTTTTTTGGGAAGATTTTTATTGGGGAATTGGGGGGATGGGAAGAGTGCTGGGGAATTGGGGGAAGGGGAACAGACAAGTTGCTGTCCTTTTGTTCTTCAGTC